AACCTTGCTGATTGAACCTACACGGTCTCCAGGAGTTCCTTGGGCTAGGCCTGACAGTTGCTCAGCCTATTGGTAATAAAAATTACTGTTTGCCCATCTCCCAAGCAACTCAGTTTTCCAGTGGGTGTAAACCCACAGAGAGAACTGCCCTATATTTAAAATCACAAATTGTATTCTTATTTTCAACAAGTTATATTTTATTCCACACAGGACATTTTTATAATTCTGGGAAATACGTGATCAACTGAGTAAGAACAATGTTTTATATTTATCTTTTTCATATTAATTAAATACTTTCCAAAATTTAGAGGAAACTCAATGTGGAGATACTTACACTTCTGACATTGATTTAATGTCACGATTAAAATTACGAAAATGAACCTTTGCAATTACAAGGGCCTGCTTTCTCCAAAGAGACTTATTGCTTATTGCACAAGATTTTGTCACAGATAGCATTAACAGGCTTTGCTCTACTTCATCAACAGAGTTTGTATCCATTTTCTCGTCAGCTTGCTCTGAATTAAAAACACCAAAATCTGGGAAATAAAGGAATAAGAAATTTAAATATTTTTATATTTATATTTTCTAACTAAGTCTATAAAGCTTGGCATCGCACTGTTTGCAACATTTCATAATTCATTAAATGCTTAATGAAATTTTTTTGGAGAACATCAGCACCATTCATGGGAAAAAAAAAATACATACAGCCACTTTCATATACCCTTATGGCACAATTCTCAGAAATAAATATATTATTATTTTCTTGGAGTTTTAATCATCTTGTCCTATAAATTTTTTAAAGAATGTGCTTTTGTACAATAGTCCCAAAATTACAAATCATATTTTATAAAGTGAAATATGGTTTTAATAATTTCATCATGATCATATGATAAGTACTACATGAAGTTATATAACGGTTTCTCACCCTGTTGGCCCTGTTGGTCAATTTCTGTTTCAACTTCCAGTTTGAAAAATACATCTTCTAGGGTTGAGGTAGAAAGGCCATAAGAAATAACACCCAAATGGGAATGAGTATCTAGATCAGCAAAGAGTGCTGGAAGAGGAGGAAGAGGAAGAATTATTTCCAAAAGAATTTAGGGCACTACTCTTTAAGAGGAGCCATAATAATTTTCTTCCATATAAAAGTGGCAAAACGCTTTTGAATGATTTTCCAGATTATTTATTTATTAGATTTAGAGTTTGGCTAACTCTATGAGACTCTGAATGAGTTACTTCATTAACAAAAGTAATGAAACAATAGGAAACAGAAATCATATGCATCCAGAAAATGCAATTCTTCAAGCAAATAAAATCCTGTAGGGGCTCAACCCCCATCCTAACCCAAGGGCTGGGGGAACAGCTAAGTTTTCAAAGACTTCTTGAATATCACTAGGGTTGATATGAAAAACGACAGCCAGAGCCCAAGACATTACAGGAAGCTGGCCTCAGGGATAAGTTCTGTGGGCTGGACAGTGAGATAGCTCTCAAGTAATGGCCCCAATGTTCTTGAACATGGGCCCCCTTAGATTCCCACCATACCTTCCTCTTCCCATCACACTGATATTACTTGCCTTCTTTTCTCCCCCCCCAATTCCCTCCCATCCTTAGCACCCCCTCACAGCCAAGGAACTTATGCATCCCACTCACACACCAATCAACCTGCCCCTCCCAGCTTTACCAGCGCCCTCCCAGACCGCTCCTGTTTTAAAGCATTCAGCAGCCAGTGTGGTGCTTGCTGATGTGGCTAGCCCACCATTTGTTTCCTCGGATCTTACTGTGTCCCCACCAACTTCCAATTCTCAGTGGCGTTTAATAGAGATAGGTTGTACCTGAAAATCTATCTGTATCTTTATATGGTAAGGCATACACAAGTTGTTCTTCATTCTCCTTTAACAGACTGGCTCCAGGGATATGCTGCCTGATCAAGAATGCTGTACCTTCTGTGTTACAATACCTGTCTATTTGCATACTAAAGAAACACATAGCAGGGACAAAAGCAACATTGTGGATCTCATTATTTTTAAACCTAACAAGATTATAACAGAGAATGTTTGCTTTCTTAAACCAACTGCAGAAAAACAGGCTTTCGGGATATTTTGTGATTCTACAGAGAGGAATCATTAAAATAGACAATTGCAGAACTAGTATGATTTCAGTTTTCTATAATGAAACCAAAAGGGTTACCAAAGCTTTAACAGTTTAAGAGAGAAGCAAAAGAGGGTACAAACTTGATGCTTAGCTTTAAACTGAGGTTTAATTTCTTTGGATGGCTAGGGACCATATTAAATATTTCTGAGCTGCTGAAGGACCAAGTTGCTGAAATAATGGGGTAGCATGGAATTGGGACCTTTCTCAAATTTTTAGGTTTTTTATTTTATTTTAACAATAGCAGCAAGCCTTTTTTTGTGCTTTAATTTTGTTTTATTTACATTTATTTATCTATAAGATTTATAAGGATGCCTCTCTCAGAATTTGAGACTCTGGATGGCATACAAAGAGAAAAGAAGAATAAATACAACACAAAAACACATTTTAAAACATTCCCAGGGAATAGTGAATGCGTCACTGCTCTGAGGCTGCAGTTGCCCAACCTAATTTTAAGCAATTCAAAATGGATAATATATAATATATAACACTTGGTTACAAATTTCATTCAACAAGATTGGTGTACCATCTGAGGATGACGGGATGCAACTCAGCTTCCTACATAAGGCAATGTTTTGACATCACCAGAATGGCAGAGTAATTTTATTCGGCCAAATTTTTAGGTTGGGGGTTAGGATGGGATAGGAGCAGGAGGCTTCTGGGAACAAATCACTCCCTACCTCATCTTTAACTACCCCTTCCCAAAACTTTCTTGAAAATGATAATTTCTCCACTGAATTTTGATGATGCGATCTACAATGGATGTGTTGAGGTACTACAAATGGTGCACTGGGGGCACGTGGCCAGGGGCTGTGAAAACTGTTCATCCCTTCATCACAGCCCATGTGCTTGAAGGCTCCTAGTAAATAAAAAATTGATAGTTCTTCTCTACTGTTTTTGTTTTAACAGATTTATTCAGATAATTTTACTATTACATTTGCAGCTCATACAGTAGCAGCTACTTTGTACTTGTTACCAAGTGAGAAAATAGCACTATGAGCTAACTAAAGTATAAGCCTTTTTTAATTTTAATTATTTAAAACATTTAAGGACTGCCTACTATTCATAGGATCTCAGACTGGGTTATAATCTGCAACCTTTACCAGGTTTGCTAACCATTAGTGTCCTTCCAACTAAACAGTTGTTAAGTAACCTACAGTCTTCATACATTTTAACCAGCTCTTCTATGAAATAAAATTTTGATGGTTCAGAAACTCTTCACAAAGCTTAGGTCCAAGTAATGTAGGTGTTATAACCTATTTTGAAATAGGCAGTGAAGTTAATAATACCTCAAACGATAGCCAATTCCCCATTTTGTCTTAAGGAAGAGAGAGGAGCCAAGACATTTCAACATTCCTCGGGAAATCACAGCTTTCCGATCTAGAAACAAGAGCACACGGAACCTTTAGTCATTCTTTTTAGACAGTGACCATCAAGGGAATAACTGCCATGTTCATGGGATGCATATCTCTGAACATGCCTGCAACAATGTCTGCTTCGTCCATGAAATGGGTACTGAACACTGTCACACGATTGGCTTTTCTGTTTTTCAAGAGGTTCCAAACAGTTTGCCGTGAGCATGGATCCATACCAGCTGTTGGCTCATCTAAGAGCAATACCTAAATAAAAAAACAAATATATGTAAACCCAGACATGCACATATAATTATTAAGTAATCATTTTGAAAACACCAGAAATAGTCCTCATTAACTTTACCACCACTTTCTATCAAAATTATATGTGATAAGATCATCATATCAGACAAAGAATATAATCCCGTATAAGAAAACAATGAGCAAACATGAGAGTAAAAATGAAGTTTTATAAATTAATATCATCCAAAGTTGAAACTCCTAATTTGGGACTCACAATAGAAATCCCACTATAGTGTCACTTCTACAGTTTAATCTAAAACAGCTTTATACTAATTGTAACAAACTATTTCTACTATGGGCAGATCTACACTTAACAATTTATGATGCTTCTTGCAATCCTGTGGTTATAGCATCTTAAGTCTCACTGGTTCAAGGAAACCTTGTCTGGATTGAGGCACTTTGGCTCACAAGGTATTCAGTCCAAACTGCAGGTTACCACATCCTCCCATTGGACAATTCCCCTGATCCTGTGTCCTCCCACCTTTCTGATTTAGGAAAGCAACCGGCAAATCCCACCTTCTTTCCCACAAATTATGGCATTATTAATTCTGTTGACATTATTCAATGTTTCCCTGGAAAGGAATTTGAGAATTTTGGAAGCAGTCTCAGAACAACACAGATCAAATGATACAAAGATTCTCAATTCTATCCCCGCTAAGGCTTTGGCTTCCTTCTAATATTTAAGTATCAGAACAAGCCCCAGCCAATACTGGAGGAGCTCAAAGTACCATGAGGAACTCTTAGCACTATTACTCCATTCAGAACCATAAGCAATACTAATGTGGTTATGAGGCACACTGCAAAATGGATTTTGGAATTTCTCCAGGGAGTTGAAATACTCAGGGAAAGAATGAGACTGATCTCTGTATTTTTTAAATTTATTCAATCAATAAACCAATCAATTTATATACATGTCTGATTAGCATGCCTCTGATATGTACTGCTAAAGTAATGCAATCTAATCACCTCAGTAAATTTCAAGAGAAAAACAAAGCTAATGGTAGTTTAACCAAATAAACTAATAGAGAAGCAAAATGAGAGAGCGAGAGAGAGAGAGCGTGCGGGCATCCTAAGGGTTAAAAAACTAATCCTCCTCAAAAAAACTACAATATTGCTCTAAAATGTGGGATATCTCACTTACTGATCTCACACTAATCTGCCCTGGTAGCCCTGTCACATGTTGCTACTAAAAGATAGGCACCTATCCTCATTCAGTTGTCAGAACTGAACCAAGGACTATCAGCTAGGCAATCGTTGAAACAATGGCCTGTTTCTACCTTATAGATTATAACTACTATGGCTGCTATGTATTTTTATTCTTTATATTATAAAGAATTTTATTTATTTT